CCTTCCTTCCTTTCTTTTTTCTTCCTTCCTTCCTTTCTTTTTCCTTCCTTTCTTTCCTTTTTCTTTCTTTCCACCCTCCATTCCTTTCTTTCCTCCTTTTCTTTCTTTTTCTCTTTCCTTCCTTTCTTTTTCTGTTTTTCTTTCTTCCTTTCTTTTCTTTCTTTTCTTTCTTTTCTTTCTTTCTGTCTTCCTTCCTTTCTTTTCTTTCTGTTTTTTTTTCTTTTCTTTCTTCCTGTCTTCCTTTCCTTCTTTTTCTTTTTCTCTTCCCTCCATTCCTTCCTTTCTTTCCTTTTTCTTTCTTTCCACCCTCCATTCCTTTCTTTCCTCCTTTTCTTTCTTTTTCTCTTTCCTTCCTTTCTTTTTCTGTTTTCCTTTCTTCCTTTCTTTTCTTTCTTTTCTTTCTTTTCTTTCTTTCTGTCTTTCTTCCTTTCTTTTCTTTCTGTTTTTCTTCCTTTCTTTTCTTTCTTTCTGTCTTCCTTCCTTTCTTTCTTTTCTTTTTCTTTCTTTCCTCTCTCCCTCCCTCCACCTTCCTTCCTTCCTTTTTGGCTTTCTCCTCTCTCTTCCCTCTGGTTCTTCACTTGCCACCCTACCCACCCCCCACTTCGCCCTAACCTCCAGCTTCCGAGATTAATCCTAGGCCCAGTGGAGATTTCCACGGTCGCTTGGGTGACGATGGGGCCCGTCTCCTGGAGACCAAGGCGATAATGTAATCTGATTTTGTCAATGAACTCCCCGGGGGGATTTAGATTAAATTGCGGATGGAAAGTCACTGGCCCTTGCTTGTCAAGCGGGGAATGGAGGATGTGTGTGTCTGTGTGTGTGTGTGTGTGTAACAAAACAGAATACAGAATAGCAGAGTTGGAAGGGATCTTGGAGGTCCTCTAGTCCAACCCCCTGTTCAGGCAGGAGACCTTATACCGTTTCAGACAAATGGCTGTCCAGCATCTTCTTAAAGACTTCCTGTGTTGGAGCACCCACAATTTCCAGAGGCAAGCGGTTCCACTGGTTAATTGTCCTCACTGTTAGGAAGCTTCTCCTTAGTTCTAGGTTGCTTCTCTCCTTGATTAGTTTCCACCCATTGCTTCTTGTCCTGCCTTCAAGGGGCTTTGGAAAATAATTTGACCCCCCTCTTCTTTGGGGCAGCCCCTCAAATATTAAAACACTGCTGTCATGTCACCCCCTGGTCCTTCTCTTCGTTAGAGTAGACACAGCAATAGCCCTTATATATACTGCTTCTCAGTGCTTTTACAGCCATCTCTAAGCGGTTCACTGAGAGCCTCTTGGCCCCAACAATCTGGATCCTCATCTTCCCAACCTCAGAAGGATGGAAAGATGAGTTGACCTGGAGCCAGTCAGGCTCGAACTCCTGGCAGTGAGAGAGTGAGTTAGGCTGCAGTGCTGCCTTTAACCACTGCGCCACCTCGGCGAATAGAATAGAATAGAATGTGAGTTAGGCTGCAGTGCTGCATTTTAACCACTGTGCCACCACAGTTTGGAAGGGAAAGAAAGAAAAAGAGAGAGAAAGAGAGAGAGAGAGAGAGAAAGTAGGACGGGAGGAAAGAAGGAAGGGAGGCAGGGAGGAAGGAAGGAAGAATGGAAAAAGAGAGAGAGAAACACAGAAAGAAAAGAGGCATGGAGGGAGGAAAAAGAAGGAAAGAAAAAAGGAAGAAGGGAAAGAGAGAGAGAGAGAAAGTAGGACGGGAGGAAAGAAGGAAGGGAGGCAGGGAGGAAGGAAGGAAGAATGGAAAAAGAGAGAGAGAAACACAGAAAGAAAAGAGGCATGGAGGGAGGAAAAAGAAGGAAAGAAAAAAGGAAGAAGGGAAAGAGAGAGAGAGAGAAAGAAAAAGAAAAGAGGCAAGAAGAAGGAAGGGGGAGGAAAGAAGAAGGGAAAGAGAAAGAAAGAAGGAAGGAAGGATGGAAGGGGGAAAAGGAAGAAGGGAAAGAGAGAGAGAGAGAA